TCTGAGTACGTTGGTCATTCAATTGGGATCATGTGATTTAGACTATAATACAATAGATCCATAGGTATAGGAGTCAATTTGTTGATTTGAAAATGTGATCATTATCCCTATTTTGTAGGTCGGCTTCCATACAAGCCATAGACCTGAAGTGGTTGAGCTTGACTTCCATATGCACAATAGACCTAGAGTGGTTGATCTTGGTCGTAATCGGTATGTCGGAGAGAAAACCATGTAGGTTGACTCTAGGATCATAGTTGGTATTGTGGAGAGGAATCGTATGGGTTGGACTGGGGACCATAGATGGTATTGCATAGAGGAACTGTGTGGTTTGGACTATAGGTCCGTGTCGGTGTTGCGGAGATGAACTCTTATGAGTCGGGCTCCGGGACCATGGGTATTGCAAAGGTGATCTCTTATTGAGTCGAACTCGGGGACCCTTGTTTTGAGGTTTTGGCCAAGTAGAGTTGACACTAAGTCATCAGAGGTATTTAGGGGACGAGCTCGTGTGGAGTTGGACCCCAAGACCGTTGGCTTGTGAATGCAAGAGAAATATTTAGCTATTTGGGGACGTTTTCCATATTTTGGAATAGCGACTGTAGTGACATCCAACCTTGACCTAAATTTTATGTAAGGTTTGGTTTGTCATTTTGTTGATGTTAAATCTAGATTCGTTATTTGAGGTAATTAGATATTGATTTATAGAAACAAAAATTATCCTTCAATTAATTTTTTATCGAAAATTTTAATTTAGTCGTAGTTTCAAGTTTGAAGGTGTTACATTCAATTATCTTCATATGCATGATGTATGATAGAAATATGTAAATGACAGTAGATGAAGGTTTGTGAATGGATGTGGATAAAGGTAAATGAAAGTAGATGGATGATGAAGGTAAATGAAAGATTTGTATGTTCTCAGAGTTCTCATCAAAGAATTCATTATCACAGGAATCTACACACACATACATATATATATATATATATATATGTATATATATATGGGGTGAGACCAGGAGAGAATTTTAAAAATCTGAATAACTAAGAAAAGGGATTTTATCAATATGGATGTCAAATATAAAATAAAAAAGTGCACGCTAATGGCATAGAGGGGAGTGATATATATATAATCACTACTCTATGATTGCTAACTATACGAAATTGTTTTTGGTATAATTTGTTTGCTATGTTTTTAGATTATATATAGTTGATTTTCAATTAAAAATAGGGGAAAATATATTTTTATCTAAAAAATATATAGTTAATACCACCATTTTAACCACATTCGTTAGAGATATCAATATAATGGTTTGATTGTGTTTTTCAGTTTTTAAGGCTATTCTAGATCTTAAGTATATATATATATATATATATATATATATATATATATATAGGTTGGTTCAAATAGAAACCAATCATATGGTACAAACTATGTGAACCGACATGTGACACAGATGTTGTTCATACGAGCATAGGGCCGACATGTGAACATGAGTTGTGAATATGTTCATAATCGATCGTAGGTTACAAATCGGCTGGAAAATATCGGGTTCACGATGCGTGAGGATTTATTACCAAAATACCCTGTGAACAATTGTCTATAAGCAACCCAATTAATTTAATGATTAATTGATTATTTTTTAATACTCATTTAATAATGACCGTTTGACCAATTTACCCTTTGAACAATTGTTCATACACATATCAATTAATACATTAATTAAATTATTGTTTATTTAATCTCATTTAATAATAATCGTTTGATGATAAAATGAATGATCAAGATCGGTTCACATAGTTTGTACCATATGGTTGGTTTCTATTTGAACCAACCTATATATATATATATATATATATATATATATATATATATATGGGCCTAATCAAATGAGAACTAATTAGTTTGTGGTAACCGTAAGGTCCAATCTCAACCACAAATTAATAGATAAATTAGGAAATTTATAATTTTGTTAATTTTGAATTAAAATTTTAATGCAAGGACATTTTAGGTATTTTAAAACTCTCCTCTCTCCTCTCTCTCTCTCCATCCTCCGGCCACCGTCCTCTGGCCACCGTCCTACGGTGATACCACAGTTTTATCACAATGTATCTTATATGTGCTTGGGTACCACACTGAGGTCATTTGTGTGGTCGATCGGATATGTAACACAGTGGTATCACAATGCATCTTATCTGTGCTTGGGTATCACACTGTGTTTTTTGTTTAAAAAAGTCAATATTTTTAGGTATCACAATGGTATCACTGGAGGACGGTGGCCGGAGGACGAGGGACGGAGAGAGAAGAGAGGAGAGAGAAGAAAAAAATACCTAAAATGTTCTTGCATTAAAATTTTAATTCAAAATTACAAAAATTATAAATTTCCTAATTTATTTATTGATTTGTGGTTGTGATTGGATTTCATGGTTACCACAAACTAGTCAGTTCTCCCTTAAAATGAGCCCCTATATATATATATATATATAGAGAGAGAGAGAGAGAGAGAGAGAGAGTGTATGTGTGTGTGCGCCATGTTTAAGTTCAGAGGAAAATGCAAAATAAATGAAAATTTGGAAAACCACTAAAAAAAAAGGATGAAAAATTATATGAATATAGATGTCAAATTAACAAGAAAAATATGATTGTTTTTTTATGTAATTTGTTTCGGTCGAATTTTAATCATCTTTCGTTTCTTTCCGATTTAAACGATAGAGGTCGGAGATTTCTTAATTTAAAAATAAAAATTGTAGCGCCTCTTGACTCACATCAATTAATTGTAACGGTTAATAAAATGTTTTTGGTTTTTCACTTTTTTAAGGTTATCCTCTAAACCTCCCTATACATATAGATTATCAAACGTATAAATTATAGAATTATAAAAATTAAATCGATTGAGTTGGTATAATCAGGAACTAGAAATCTAACGTGTTAAAAGAATTATACCATTATCATACCAACAAATTAAGTATCGCTAATATTATGCAAATCATAGACCGCTAAAAGCAACCAAAAGTTCCTCGCCCTTTTTTAGAAACAAAAAAAGTTCTGTTCAGATGGGACTGTTAGTACTTCCTACTCTTTCAATAGCAGACTTTTTACAAACCAATTTATGCAATTGGTAAAGAATTTTTTTCCTTAAACGGATATCTAATTCGTACTAATCCCAAGATAACTATCTGCTTCGTGGGTAGGCAGGAGTCATTGTATTTGAACCTCCGTAACCACAAGGGGATTTTTATTCCTATTTGGATTCGATCCTGGGACCTTGACCCACTTTTGACATTTGAAACCTAAACTCAAACCAATCGGACACCACCCTTATCGTTATTTAAGTACCAACTAAGTTCAAAATATTGACATGATATACTTTTTGAAATAAGATTTTTTCTTTTGGTAACTGTGAACGTCCTTACAATAATTGTTGATGTGATTGTGAAAATAAAATAAAATGGTTTCTTCAATTCAGACCTACAACTTTTTAATTAAGTAGATGACTTATTGGAGGTATTGGATGGTATATAGAACCCTAGCTAGGTGCCAAACCTTAGAAAGAAAAGAGTTGATACTTCTTGTTGAGGAAGGGGGGGCTTAATCCCGTCGAAAGAGCTAGGGTTAAGGTGCTGCATGGTTCAGAAAAAGTTAGAAGCACCATCTTACACTAAGAAAAATCTCCATCATTTATAAATGGATCGATCTGGCTTCACCATCAAGAGACATGTGTGAAGTAACATTCACCGCAACTAAATTGATTTTTTAAGACGTCTAACACTACTAGAAAATTGGGTATTAACGACGGACTTTAGCGATAGAACTAATCCGATAGGTCACAAACCCAACCCTAATAAAATGTTTAAGCCAACTACTAGAATGCTTTATTCAACGAATTACGTTTATAGGACCATAATATAAAGCGTTAACTCTAAAAGTGTTACAACATATTTATGAGACGTTTTTTAGCGTTTCGACAAGTATTTATGACGTTTTTAAAATAAATTGTTGTATTAGTTATTTATATGAAAATTTTGATAATTGTCCTATATATCCATCTTTTTATAGGACACTTGTGTTTATATAGGATTTTTTTTTCAATATTGTGACATAAAATAATTAATATCACACACTATTTTAGACGTGTTTTAAAAAACTTGTTGAAACACCTAAAAACGTATTATAAAACTATAGAACACTTTTTTGTTTGATCCTATATGCATAAATCATACAAAACACTTTATTAGGATGTTTAGAAATTCTGTGGCGATGGCAACAAATTTTAGCTTTCTGAACTCGTAGACAATGTCGTTGGTTTGCAAATATTGGAGAGATGCTTTAGCATAAATTTTGTTAGATAATGAAGCCAATCTATACTATAACGATGATAAGTTTTCGGTATCAAACTATAAGGGTGATGCCTGATTGGTTTGAGCTTGGCTCCAAAGGTCAAAAATAACTGGAGGCCCCAGGTTCAAATCCAAGGAGGAATAAAAAACCCCTTGTGGCCATGGAGATTCAAATACGGTGATTCCAGGCTATCTGTGCAAAGCAGGTGATCGTCCTGAAATTAGTCGGCTCGCATAGTGGGTTGGATATCCAGGTTAAATAAAAAAAAGTTTTCGGCATCATTCAAACATATAAATAAAATGGGAATATTCTTTGCCAGTCACAATGTTTTTAGCAATTAAGTAAACAAAGATGTCAAGTCGGTGTGGCGCAGTTTGGTTCGTTGGTAGTATATTTACTATTTTGGAGGAAACAAATATGAAAAATAATTGAAATTCATATATGAAGGTAAGGTACGTACTGAAAAACATGCACATGACTTTTGATATATAATCTGCTAAAGTAACCAAAGCATCTTGTTATATTGGCTTCTGAAATTGAACTGTACTCCATTGCAAGTACGTACAGCCTCTGCATTTCTATCTTTTATTGCTATATAGATTCATACAGCCAATTCCAGACCATCATCTCCCAAGTTCAAGGAAATTAAATAAAGTTTGCGACTTTAGCCATGGATGATCTTATTGTCTCCCCATCTTCATCTTCTTCCATCGTTTCTTTTCCCAAAACTACAATCCCTCCCCCTTCTGATCATACCCTACAGCAAAAGCTCCAACACCTCCTTCAAAGCCAGCCTCAACCATGGGCATACGCCATTTTCTGGCAGACCTTCAACGACGACTCCAATGGCTGTGTCTCCTTGTCCTGGGGAGACGGTCATCTCCAAAGCAACAACGACCTTCCAATCACCACCTTGCCCTCGACCTCTGGGGGTTCCGCCACCTTTCTCTCCGATTTGGAACCTGACAGCAGGAAGTCTTTAATCAGAGAAATCCAGGCCCTCCTTGGACCAGACAACCGCGCCGACGCCGAATGGTTCTATGTCATCTCTTTAACCAGGTCATTTACCCCCGGAGACGGATCGGTTCCAGGTACGGCTTTYGGTTCAAACACTTTGATCTGGTTAAGTGGGGTGGATCAGCTCCGTTCTTTTAACTGTGAGAGAGCTAAAGAAGCTCGGATCCACGGGCTAGAGACCCTGGTTTGCATCCCGACACCAAATGGTGTTTTAGAAATAGGTTCACATCATGTCATCGAGGAGTCGTGGAATTTGGCTCATCAGGCTCAGTCAGTCTTTGGTGGGGTTTCTTCTTCTTCCTCTTGTTCTCCTCCTGATTCCCTACCTAATTTCTTCCTACACAAACTACACCTCGACAACAGCTCCACCGCTCAACCGATGAACAACCTTAATGACGATCATCACAATATTATTTCTTTTGCTGATATGATGTTTATGGCTGGCGGGCTGCAAGAGGAGGGTATGAACACGATAGATTTTGAATCAACAACACCCGATAACCAGATGTCCAAGAACGTTGAAAAATTATACATAAACAAGAGCAACACTACTGCTGCTACGACCATGAATACCTATGCGGAAACTGCATCGGAGCATTCCGATTCTGACTGCCAGCTGGTTCTTGCCACGACAGAGAGGCGGATACAGAAGAAAAAAGGAAAGAAGCCAGGTGGTCGGGATCCTCCTGTTAACCACGTGGAGGCAGAAAGGCAACGGCGTGAGAAGCTCAACCAACGTTTCTACGCCCTGCGCTCCGTCGTCCCAAACGTGTCTAGAATGGATAAGGCGTCCCTCCTGGCAGATGCTGTCTGCTATATCAACGAACTGAAAGCAAAAGTTGAGTATCTGGAATCTCAGTTGCATTCTCGCATCAACCACCAAGGGAAAACCAAGAAAATGAAGGTGGAAGTGGCTGATACTGCGGACAACCCCCTGCAAACCAGCGACACTTATAGTTTGTATCAATCTCGGGTGTCGACAAAACCTATATTAAAGATTAATAACAAGGCCACGATCAAGAATAATATCAGTGGTTTTGGTGAAGTGGAAGTGAAAATCGTGGGTGAGGACGCAATGATAAGGGTGCAGTCAGGGAATGCGAACTTGCCCCCGGCGAAACTGATGGATGCTCTGAGAGAAATGAAGGCACAGATCCAGCATGCAAGCATGTCGTGTGTGAATGAGATAATGCTGCAAGACGTTGTGGTTAGGATCCCAGGTGCCATAGACGAAGATGAACTCAAAACCGATCTCATTAGGAGATTAGACCGCTAGCAAGCAAGCAAGCAACCAGGCGTTAGGTTTGATTAGGTGTGGATTGGTTTGATGGTTTGAAAAGGAAATGAGTGTGGTTTCGATATTAGACTGAAACCAGAATGGGTGTGAGGATTTGGAGATTGGAGTCCTGGTTGCTTGGTTTATCACGATTTAGGTTTTAGTTTGCTAATACGTGGTAGTGGTTTTCGTCTTTTACATTTTTATACCGTTTGTCTATTTTCTTGTATCATAAATTATTACATATTCATTATTGTTTTGATTTGCTACTTCTCTTTTTCAAAGTCTTGAAATAATACAAATATTTGCATTAAATTCAAACGTCAATTTGGGGTATAACTCTTCGACCTATAATTGTTGAAATTTTCATATGGTTCTGTTCGGTTTTGAGATATCTTGGTATGCTTGAATCTTATCTTGACGAGCGATTGAGCTTTGAGTTCTGTTGAAGAACATTATGAACCCTAAAAACCCTAGATCTGAATGTACAAAATTGGTGCTTCATTTCATAACCATTCTTATTGATTTTGGCGCAACAGTGTCACAAATGTTGTATGCCAATCGTAATTGCATAAAATCCCCTTGATTTGAAATCGACAATCGATTAAAGTTGGTCAAAAGCACATGCCATATTTTCCATTCGAACGTCTCACTGATTCGCATAGCTCACAAGTCACAACTACAATTCCAGCTTTGTTGACCATCGCAACACATAATATGATCGAACATAATTAAAAAGTCATTACAACATAATTAAAAAGTCATTACAATTCCAACTTAGTAACCACTATTATTTCTCACTAACATTTCTAAGTAACACCAAGTAGTTAGTGACCACTATTTTGGTTACTAATCATTTCAAATTTGTGGCTACTTTGCTTTTTTGTCACTAAAACTTTTAACTTGATGATCATCATCTTTTGGTCACCAAATTGTTCAACTCAATGACCACTATTTTGGTAACTAGACGTATGAATTTAAAACATCAATGACGAAAAATATGGTCGTCACAAATTTAGTCACTAAAAGAGATTGATATGATAAATCTTTTTTTTTTGCATGAGAATTAGTGACCACTTAGTGACCAAATTTATTTTTTGTTACTAAAGTTTATATTAGGGACCACAAATTAGTGACAATTTTTCTCATTGTTACTAACGTTACAGTTAGTGACCAAAATATAAGTAGGTCAATAAATTTTGGTCACTAACGAAGTTTTTTCTTGTACTGCCAATTATTAACAAATTGTGTTATGCTTATCGTTTGGTTTTTTTTTTTTTTGTTGTTTAGGTGTCATTGATGACGACTATGGTTCGAAAAAACTTGGTCACTGAGTTTAACTGTTTGCTATAAGAAGGAAATTCTTATATTTTGCAAAATTTCAAAGGTTGTCGAGAATAATAGATGCTTTCGTTGCTTCAACTACTTCTGTTTAGTTGTTTGAATTAGTGTTAGTGTAATCCATGTCAACCTTTGGGCTCTCTCCCATTTGGAGACTAACATACGTTTGGTCTGTAGTTATCGTGCCATTTAGGTGTATATTTGTTCATACTTAACAAAACTGTCAGAGCCACCTCTTTTTTTTATTTGTGTGTGTATTAAAATTCCCCTAATTAAATTTTAGTAATTTTTACAAATGATATGAATGCATTTATTGATAATTATGTTTACCAACTAAGATGTATTTATATGAATAAACTACATATTACTATACAAATTACTTATGCTATCTTGTAAGGTACGGTTTTCATATTAATTACAAACATCATAAATGTATGTTACTAGTGGCAATGAGCATGAGAGGACATGTTAGCAACTTAAACCCTAATTGTATGACTCTTAATTTTAACCGTTTTATAACAATGAAAAATGTGCATGTGATTATAAATCATTAAACTATTGATAGTTATTTTTTAATAAGAATTATAGGCCTGCAGCTTTGTGTGAAATGGAAAAAGTTGGTTGGGCTTTATTTTTAAATTTTTCATGAAAAAAAAAATTGTTTTTGGTGGTGTTTGAGAATGGTTTGGTGCCTGATATTTTAAAAAGAAGGAAGGGAGAAGGGTGAAGAAAAGGCCAAATAAGAAGTCTTAAAAAAGTACAAAAAGGGTACAAGAAGGTACAAAGTACACTTACAAGATGACATCATTATTTGTACCCTCCTAACCCAACTTTTCAATCATGGGTCTTGTATGTCATATTTTTTTGGGGGTGGCTAATGGCACCCTTATCATGTGCTAATGCCACCCCTAAATAGCTTTTCATCATTTATGTTTTATGATTTTTTGTGTTTTTTTGTTTTTTTGTAATTATTACTTTTTATTTTATTATTAATTAAAGAAAATTTTATTTTATTATTAATTAAAGAAAATTTTAATTAATATATATTATTTATTTTATTTTTTGTTTTATTTATTTATTTATATTATATTTTAATTAATATAAATTATTAATAAATAT